ATTATTATTATTATTATTATTATTATTGTTATTATTATTATTATTATTGAAGTTTTGCACATCTATCAACTGTGCTTATATATATGCTGAATTGTTGAAGTTTCTCAAAAGTAGAAAAGGGAAAAATAAATTTTTCACATTGCTCTCACACTTGGTCGTTTTAATATCGCTATAAAATTAGAAAGGGAAATTTATTGTTTCTATAAAACCCAGGCTTTATGAAAACAAAATAAAGCTTCAACTCATATCCTCATCCAAAAAGCACTTTAGCCATACAAATCTCCATGATGGCTCTAAAATCATTTTCCAACACCGACTATGAAACTTGAAGCTCAAAAAATGGTAATAGATCTTACAGATCTATCAACACTTATTTTAGGGTGAAATGGATGGTTGAGATAATTTGTTACAATTATATTACTTTTAGGGTTTGAAATCCTAATTGTTTTTCACAAACATAATGATCAAGGCCGAGATGATCGATTTGAAGGTTTTTCGACACCATAATTACAATATTCTGTGAGTTTTGAAGTGAGGTTTTACTTATTTTGATAGGGCCGCAGCATTTTCAAAACATTTTCGTTTGTCAAAATACTGATAAGAGATGATCCGTTAAATATTTTACCTATATGCAACTATTCCAACTCATAATCATGTATTTCTTTATAAGTAGTTGAAAATTAAATCAAAAGATGCGGTAGAATGTTAAATAATTGTCTTATGGTTCTTTAGATAAATTTCTTACTCCAAAAGGTAATATCTAATATTTCGGGAAATCCATCCAAATTTATGAAATTATGGAAAAGTGATGTATAAAAAATCATGACCCCCTTGAAAATGACGAGGAAAGATGTGTACCTTGACCTGCTAATATCTTTGATTTAAGGAAAGTTAAAAAATAAAAATAAAAAATAAAAAAATACAATTCCTTTGTTTAAAGTTTAAATTTAAACCTTGGATACACGCAATATAAATTAAGTTTCCAAAATATCTTTGTATTCCTTTTCAGACGGTACCCATCTAATTGTATACTTTTTCTTTCTCGAATATTAACTTAAGAGATTTGCTTCAGAGTATTATCCAGTTTGGTGAGAAAAATGAAGCAATTCGAGCGTTTTAGCTGATTCGGCAAAAGACTTCAAACTTTTTTCTTAATTTAATATAAATAAATTAGATATTTATATATATAAATTTATAAAAATAATGCAAAATCAAAAATAAAAATTTCAAAAAAAAATAATTATATAGATATTTCTTTACTTAGGCCAAAGAGGCCTAAGCTTTGGCCAAACAGCCTAAAGCGGACTCAAATTTGACCAAAGCAGCTCGATTCAAATTGAAACGCCAACAACTTCGCTTCACCTCACTCAGGCCTAAAATTCGAAGGGTTCAGCCTCTCCGAATAAAGGAAAAAGGATTTGACAACACTTGAGCTAGCAATAATAGAACTATGCGTCCACGTTAACCTGCCAACTCCCAAATATGGTAGCTTTATAGAAATATCACGAGGTACAATATTGGCTGTGACTCCCAAATATGGTAATTTTCTACACATCACGAGATACACGATGATTATCTTTGCCAAACTAGTATTGCAAAGATAATAAAGAAAATTGAAAATAAATAAAATATAAAAATAACACCGTTTCAAGATTTGACTGGTATGAATCTAAAAAAAATAAAATGATATATCAAAATTTATGTAATCGACTCCAATTAGTTAAATTAATAAAAACTTTTGATGATGATTTTCATCGACGGATTTCAAATTTAATAGACCATTTAAATATGTGAAGGGATGGTATCAAACTCTTTCTTTGCATATAACTAATGTTGGCACTCATTAATGATATGGCATTTAAAGCTGATAATTCCCTTTAATCGGATACTTTGATCGCCCAGCGTTTGATTTTTGTTCAGTGAAATCTGCCATATTTGTTTTCTCGATATTCTTAAATTAATAAATGAGTGTGAGGGGAATAAATGAGTGTGAGGTGGAGGCGCGTTGAAAGGAACAATATGAAGCTCTTCGAAAGCCACAAAAACACGACCCGCCATTCAATTCCGCTACTCATTACCCACGCGCTTTCTTTCATGCTCCTGTCCCCCTTTTCCTTTCTCTCTCCATGTTTTTTTATAGCTCTTCCTTTTTATTTTATACTTAAATTTTACTAATTTTTTTTTAATTTTTATTTAAATATTTTTATTTAATTTTATTTTAAATAAATTTTTTAAATTTTTTTTTTCTGGACCAAAAGCGGTAAACTACACTTTTTTATCTCTCTACGATACCTCTTCAATAAAAAATATCTTTTCACAATATTTCTAATAGTATCCAGCACACCCGATTTTCTTTTAATGTCAACATTTTTTTCAAGTTTTTTTTCACTCCAAAGTTCAAAATCCAAATTAGAATTATTTTTTTCTCTCTCTAAAAAGCTTCCCTCGAAAAAATGTTTGAGAAGGATAATGAGATTTTGTGGCATTTCCCCCAGCCCATTAACATTGCTTGCATCTCTCTCTCATCAAATCTTGTCTCTCTCCAACGCCTTTGCTTTGCCTCTAACGACTCGCGGAAGAAGAATGTTCACAAGTACAACGTACTCACTTCGTGAACACCCCACATGAGAAAAACGCCTAATTAACTGCACAAAAAGATAAAATAGTATATAATTTGCGGGTAAAATTTTATAGGATGTCTTGGGAATCTATTTTTAAGCCTAATTATGAAATTTTGAACTCTAAAATAGTTCAAATCAAATAGATCTATAAAAAGTTGAAAATCATGATAATGGATGGTCTAGATAATGTGCTGCTAGATACAGTATTTTTAGGACTCAAAAATCTTTTTTACTTTTCATGTTCATACATATCGATGTCAAGAAGATCAATTAGAAAGTTTTACAACATCAAAACAACTTTATATGATGGATTTTTTATGTATACCTTAATTCTATTGTTTCAATCTTATATAAACTTTTTTCATTTAAGAAAAGAAAAAATTTATATAAGGTGTCAACCTACAAGCAAAGTGCACCTAAAAATCCCACTAGAGAAGGTTGTTTTTATGTTGGAAAATCCTCAAACCAGTCTTCTCGGACCTTTAAATTCATAGACATGAAAAAAAGGGGATTTTTAGTCTTAAAAATAGTTTATTTTCTAACATATTATCGAGACCGTCCACTTTCAAGTATTTATAGATCTATTTGATTGTCATTATTTCTGGAACTTTAAATTTTATAATTGGAGAAGCAATTTATTGGTTTGAGGCACCAAAATTGCAGTTTCCGCCTAGTTTTGAGGTATGATTTACTTCAATAGTATAAGGTTGACACCTTATACAAACCTCACTCTTTAAGAAATTCACACAAATGGGACTCGTACAAGCAATAGTTAACAAGATTGGCATTTCCCGCATATTTTTGAGGTAAACCTTAATAGTATAAGGTTGATACCCTATACAAACCTCACCTTTTAAGAAATTCACACAAATGGGACTGGCACTAAGCATAGTGGTCAAGATTGGATTGGACCAAGCCCGTACCATTGGAATGGGTAGCCCGTACATAAGGCGGTTAAGTCTGGAAGAAAAATTATTGAGTTAAGTATAAAAACCAGTCAAAATTAGTACTTAATTGGTTTTCGATTAGTAAGCCTGCTTCGATCGAGCGAAATGAAATAGGCAAATTTCTCCAATAAATTACATATTTTTAAATTATTATATATTTGTGCATATATATTAACAACTAATTTTGATTAAGTCCAAAATTAATGGCAAAAATAAAGAGAAGGAAGGTGTCAAATTACCTGAGTGTACGGTCTCAAGCTGAGCAAATCCACGAAAACGAAGAGATGATGGAAAAAATTGAACAAATAATGATGAGTTTTTTTGTATATCATCTCTAAATAATCTCTCTACAATCATAAGAATAATAATCCGCTAAATTTGTCAATACTGTGTATAACTCTCTGAACAATCTCTATAAACAGGAGAAGAATCCCCCCAACTTGAACAAATGTCTCTGTGAACTATCTCAACAACACTACTCAAATTCACGCCCCCAACACTCCTCTCACTTGTATAACCATGAATAACAGTATACCTAACAGTCGAGGAACCAGACATGGAAGGAGAAGAAGAGGTAGAAAGAGAGAGAGGAGAAGTAGAGACAGGAGTAAGAGATTTCGACCTGGTAAAAATCGATTCTTGTGTCGATTTCGAGAGAGAATGAACCACCGAGTCCGAGTTTCCAACCAAGTGCATATTCCCCAGATTGCGCCTCGCCACCGAGCTCTGCCTCACCAGATAGGTGAGAAGAACCGAGTCGGGGAACGCCCCCCTTCTCTTTCTAAGTAGCGCCACCTTCACAATTTCAGTGATCATAGCATTGGCCAGCCTCCTCACCGCTCCCATCGCTCCCATCACCACCCCGCTGTTCACGATTTCCGCCCCTCGCTCGCTCCTATAGACCTCACCCCAGGCCTCCTTCCCATAAACCCCTCTCATCCCTTCCCCCCATGAGCTCTCTTCTAGAGCGAGAAATAACACATTGTTTCTTGCTGCCTTGCGCAAAGGCGAGAGCGCGTCGCCGATGATCAGAGTGCCCGTGATCTCAGTGAGCAGAACGTGCTTCACCCGATGACGCAATTTTCCTAATAGCATTTGGTAGCAGGCCCAACGCCGAAGCTCGATGGGTGGCTGATCGATGAAACCCGATAATGCGTCGTCCGGGTTCAGCTCGTTAACTACAAATCCGACGACGGAGCCCCACGCGAAGCACTGGTCACTCTTATTGCGCTGTGCATGGCCTCCAACGCCGGTGGCGGTGCCCCAAAGCGGGTTGGGATATGCAGGCTTTGAGTTGCAGGCCTTGCTCAAAACGTTGGGCTTGAAAGGGCAAATATCGCCGCTCTTTTGAGTCTGGTTGAGGAGGTTGAGAAAGGAGAGATTTTCGTCTTCGATGATTCGAGAGGAGGAGGGGGGGATGAGGGGGGTGGGGAAGAGGAGGACGAGGTCGGCCCTTGCGAGGGCCCCGGAGCGGTGAAGGGTGCGAAGGAACATTCGGAGATGGGTCTTTGTGGTGCTGTTCGTGATGTGGGCGACGATGAGCTCCGCCATGCCCCGGGTGCCCCGGCGGTAGAGCGTGCCCATGCCATGGAGAGCCAGGCGTCTGTCGACAGTGCCCGTTGTCACTATTTTCGACCGGGAATTGGCTGGAGAGGGAGGGTGAGGGGAAGGGGAGAAGAGGAGAAAGAGGAGGAGGGTGGATATGAGGAGGAGGGCGCAGAGAGAGATGGTGGAGCGAGCGCGATGAGTGAGGCTGCAACGAGAAGACATGCCGTCGGTCGGGAAGAGGAGGACGAGGAGTGCCCGGCTTCTGTCCATGGGGTTGAAGCTTCCGCCGCTTGTTGGCGATCGGGATTTCACCCCGAAGACCCCCATGGCTCTCTCTCTCTGTCTTTCTCAGAAGTCTCTTATCTAACTTTTTCTCTTGCTCAAGAAAATATCTGGTTTTTATCTCTCCTCTTCCAATTCTTGTGCCAATAAATCTCTATCTCTCTGCAAATTACTCTGCTAAATCTGGAGAGTTTCTTTCTTTGCCAATTCCTCTCTGAACCAAACCCCAAATCATCAAATCTCTCTACAAATGCTTCTCCCCAAATCGTGAAATCCCACTCTTAAGCACTTTGCCTTCTCTCTTGTGAGCTGGACTATGCCATGGAAAGGAGAGAAGGCTGTTTCGGTTCAGGAAAGAAGGGCACAGGAGATGCGTCCCCTCTGTAAATGCGATACTCTCTGTCATGGAACCACAAATGCTTCATAGAGAGAGAGAGAGACAGAGGGGCGCGGGTGCCGTGCTGTTAAGGAAAGCGGGCGCCGATTCACTTTCTAAATTTTAACGTGCCACATTTTTTCTCACTAAAAAAGCGCTTTCCTAAGGGACTGCAAGAAGGAAAAAGTTTATATAGAGATGCAACCTTATAACGTGGAACTTCGGATGCACCTGAAAAATCGATCGTGCAGTTTTATTGTTGAAAAATATTTTTATTGATTGATCATGAAAAATAAAAATATTTTAAATTTTCGTTGTATTTTATAACATATCATCTAAACCGTTTATTTTCAAGATTTTCATATGTTTATAGATTTACTTAATTTTAACTATTTTTAAAATTTAAAATTTTATAATTAGATATAAAAATAGATTTTGAGATAATCTGAAAAACATTTACATCAAAATTATATATTATGATAAAATTTGAACGTGCACGGTAATGGGATTGTTTACGGTTGCAACCGTACGCGTTGAGAACCCATAACTGCATACTATATAAAGGTTCTATAGTCGCGCATGAGTATCTTGTCCTTTTACTCTCTACCCTGCATATAAGAATAATTTAAGCGTGTGATCTGCGTTAGGTTGCAAAATTCTAAACAATCCAATTAAAGCGCATGTCTAAATTTTATCATAAATCTTATTATGATATAAATTTTTTTTTAAATGGTTTCATAATCTATTTTCATTCATTTCTAATTAGGATAATTTTAACTATGAAAATGGTTCAAATCAAGTAGATCTATAAATACATAAAAATCCTTAAAATGGACGGTCCAGATAAAGTGTTGCGAACTCAAAATATTTTTAAAATTTTTTATTCATACATCTTGATATCGAGTTAATCAATTAAATGATTTTTTAATACCTAAACAACATTTTATTATGGATTTTTGAGGTGTATCTTTAATTCTACATTTTAATGTTGCAACCTTCTATAAACTTTTTTCATAATTTAATGGCCCCCCAAATTTTTAGAGATGTAACCTCTACAATATAAATTTTTTGAGACATAACCTCTACAACCCTAGAGACTAACCACGATAAAATTCGACTATTCATGTACTAGAAAAAAAAAATTATTTTGAAACTATTTAATTTTTGAAGGGCGAGATATTAGTGCGAAAAATACAACATTGAATTTTATTTAATTTTGAAATAATCATCGAGCAATTCTTTGGTGGTTACCAAAATTTCGGAAGAATCTCCCTAGTAAGTCTTTTCGCTGAGAGAGTAGATGCACAACATGCTCCCGCTGGATCATAATACACATGTTCAACTATAAAACAAAGGGCGTTTTTAGCTCATTCTTCTTTCTTTTGATAAAAAAAAACTAATAACTATTTTTGTTGTTACCTGGCACTAGGCACTACCGACAATTTATTTCAGAAATAATTGGGAAAATTACCTATCTTTGCAAAGTCCAAAGTTGTTCCATTTCTTTGAGGGGGGTTCTTTGAATATATGAACCTCTCTCTACAAGCGAAGATTACTAGTGTGGAATTTCTTTCATCTAATTGAGAAAGTTGTTTTTAAAAGAGAGGAAAATAGTTGTTTTTTTTTTTTTTTTTTGTGAGTGTTGACCAGGATGCTCCTGGTTTAATATTAAAAATAAAGGTATAGTTTGTATAAGGCCGGGGCTCTAAACAATTAAAATAGGGTGTACCTTTAAATAGTACTTGTATTAATATTAGAAATTTTTATGGTGGCATAAAACTTTATTTTCGTCTCTAATAATAAAATTTTAAAGCAAAAAATAGTGTAGATTGAGCAGATCAATAAATACTTGAAAATCTTGATAATTGACGGTCTAGATAATACATTACAAGATGCGTTATTTTCAATACTTGAAAAAAAAAAAATTCTCATGTTCATATATCTTGGGGTTGAGATGATTGAACTGAGAGTCGAGGTACATGGCATGCTACCACTACGACCCCAACCCCTTTTCAGGTTGATATATTCAAAGTTCAAATCATAAAAAAAATTAAAGAAAAAAAAAAAAAACATTGACCATTAAATAAGGGTTTCCATATGAGTGATAAATGTCACTTGGTAAATAAAGTGTGACAAAATGATGGCATCAGATAATAAGCCGTCTGGTAACCTCTCACTTTCCCTCCCTCTCTCAGACTCAAGGCTGTAGATCGGCTGACTCGGGTCTGGGTCGACCCGGACCCATGACTTGACAGAGTTTAGGTGACATTGGAATCTAGATGGGACTTCTCGGCAGCGCCAGGTCGGTATTAAGACAAAATAAGGAAATAAATATTATACAAACATTACTTATTAGTATGTCCACACACACTTATAGATAAAGTTAATTTAGTAGGGTTGACCCAATCTTAGACCTGACCCGACCTAATATCCAGGCTGGGTCCTACCTAGTCATCCAGGTCTAGTTGATCCAAATTCCAGACCCATCTTGTTGGGTTGGTTCGACAAATCGACTCGACCTTTTTCCCAAACCTAGAAAACATTTTTGCTACTCTAGGGTGCATGGCATTAGTCCATCCTAGTGACGATTATTGTAGATAATTTGATTTTATCATAAGAAAATCAAGGGCCAATTAACTTCGACATCATCACGATAAAATAAACTAAACGAACAATGATTTCATGCAACTGTTGTAAAGTAAAATGATGCAACAACATTAAGAAACCATCTTATAGCCATTTGTTTGATTCAAAATTTTAAATATACACTCTTTTTCATTCTAATGAACAATCACAAAAAAAGAAAAAATTGAAAACACAACCTAGAAAATATTTTTTAGCCCAATTAACATAGACCCTTCATTTTGGTTAGATGCTTAGATCTAAGCTTTAAAAGGATTTCTTTCATTTCTAATTTTTTTGGATGGATTTATTATCATTAGATGAATAATTTTAAAAAGAAAAAAATAATTTTGAGTTTATAAAGGCTAAGATATTGAAATTCACAAAATAAATAGTCTAGATTCGTTTTTGGAGGGAACTCATTTTGACCATACCTAGGGTTTAAATTGAACTTTTTTTTTTTGGGGGAGTGATTATTGAGATGAAGAGAGCATGTGTGAAAAAATTTGGGGTCATACAAATACCACGAACATGGTTTTCTAGAAGTGTCGTTGCATTATACTATGATATAACCATTGCATTCGATCATTGCTCTAAACCAATAGTTTAAAAAACGAATCGGTGACCAGGATCGAGCTTCCAAAAAACCGATCCGGATCGGCGAATCGGCGATCCGGATCGGGAATTGGGTGAATCGGTCAGAATAAAGCTTAAAAAAAATGCGAAAAAATTATTAAAATTCATTATAAATATTGTTTTTTAGGAATTCAATAAAAAATGAGGGTACTCCATTAAGAATTTTCATGTTTTTGAATGAATATGCGAATATTGATATGTTCTTTCCCTGCATGAACCGCCGTTCAGCATTTAATTTACAGTATTTCGTGCTCATCCCTACACTGTTGTTGTTGGGACTCGATATGTGAATAATATTGCTGGGATAGGGTGGCCTCAGAATCATCATCTCTCTCATTTTCTCTTTGAATAATATGGATTAAAAAAAAAAATAACAAATTTTCAAAAAAATCGATCATGGATTAAAAAAAAATCACAAATTTTCAAAAAATTCTATCATGGATTACAAAAAAAAATTAGATCATGGATTAAAAAAAAAATTCACAAATTTTCAAAAAATTCAATCATGGATTACATAAAATTCAATCATGGATTACATAAAATTCGATCATGGATTACATAAAATTCGATCATGGATTACATAAAATTCGATCATGGATTACAAAAAAAAACAACAAAAAAAAACAAAAAATTCAATCGTGGATTACAAAAAAATAAAAAAACAAGTTCGATCATGGATTACAAAAAATTCAATCATGGATTACAAAAAACTCTATCATGGGTTACAAAAAAAGCAAAAAACAAAAAATTCAAATCAATGGAATTC